TCCCGGTCCCATTTTGGGGAATAAAAAAAAAAATTTGGAATTGTTTTTTTTTTTTAAAAGTTTTTATACCCCCCCCCCCCCCTTTTCCCCCGGACCCTTTTAAAATCAACCGGAACCAACGCATCCAGTTCAGGGGGTATTTTGATTCCGTTTTGGGGAAGGTGATGTTTCAGGTGTTTTTCTCCTTGAGCTGTGGGGCCCGGGAGCTTTAGGGGGGGAAGTGAAAGGGAGTCGCTTTCCCGGGCATCAACACCAGGGAAAATTGGTACAATTTGGATTTTTTTGGGATCCAGGACCCCTTTTTCCGGACGCCCCGGTTTCCCCAGGATCACATGTACCCACCCACTTTCCCGAAAGAGAGGGGGGGGGGGGGGGGCGTGCGTTGTGTTGTTGCAGGCCGGCTAGAGGCAGATGGGTCTAGGACCGGCGGCTGTACTACAAGATGTGAACGAGGAGAGGGCGATTCGTACGCTGGCGCTACTTGCCGGGTTTGGGCTTTTGCGAGGGGCTGGTGCGCGTGAGAAGTGGTTGGGGATGGCATCAATGGCCGGGGCGGGGGTGCAAGCTCTGTCTGTCTGTCTGTCTGCCTTCTTCTCTGCTGGAGCATGGTGCTGTGTTTGGATAGGATTTTTCAGAAGATGCGGAGGCGATTGCCGGCAGGAGGAGGGAATAGAGAGGTTGGGGCGTCGGGGGGGGATCGTTTTATGTACTCGATGTGTTTGTCTCGTTTTGTGTGGTTAGCTTCTGTGCCGCGCGTAGTATGTGTACTGTTGGTGGTGAAGGCCGCTTTTGGGCGTGCACGTTGTATTTTACCCTTGATCTTCTCCCGTGTCCATTCTTTACTTTTGTTTGTCTCTCAATCTGTAGCATACGAACGCGCGCACAGTCACCAACATAAAAATGGGTGGAAATTGCTTCCCCCTAGTACACCGTTCGCTAAACTGTATTTTTCAAAACGGGATACAATGGGTTTTAGATTTGTTGCCTCGTTGGGTTGCGCTTTGTGGTTCCTTGACCGTTGCCTCCCTCTGCCGCACCCTGCGTTTGGTAGCTGCCGGGGCTGTTCCTCGTAGCCGCAGAGGTGAAGAACTAGATATGGTTGGGCGGTACAAAAAACTTGAAGTATGATATAGGGGCTGGGGGGGGGGCGGGAGGGGGGTCTTCGCAGGCTGCGATATCGCAGGCCTTTCGTCTGTCTCGTTGTTGTTCGCCTGCGGGTGTCCATTGGTTTTGGGGTTCTGGCATATATCCCTTGTCGTGTGCGTGCAACCCCGTGAGTCACGGTGGCTTCTTTGCTATGTCCCCTTGGCTCACCCTAAACAGGCATACGTTGCCAGCCTGCTCGCGCGGGGCACGTGTTCCAGTGTGGCGGTCTCGGGTGTATAGTGATGTATGTGCCGATCGGTGTGCTGACGAACGGATCCAGCGTAGCCGTCGCCCACGGCAGAGCCTTTTCCTACGTGTGGGTGTGTGTCGTCGAGGTGTTTGTAGGTTGGGTTGTTTCGGCCACAAAAGCCCCAGCAACCCATGATAGTGCGCTATGGCGTTGGTGTCTATTTTGGTGTCTTTTTGTGTCTAAGGTGTGTTATTTATTTCGGAGTGCACCGCTGGGAGCGCTTGCGTTTCTGCGAAGGGGGGGGGGGGAGGCGCGTCGTGACTACGCCTTCCTTGTCATGTTCCTGGCGATCTTGCCTCCGATGCGTGTATCAAAGTGTTGCGTCATTGCATTTTGGCGCCTTCGTTCCATTAGAAGCAGGAACAACTTTTTGTGTGTGTGAACCATTGATTTTATGCAATCCTGTTTTGGGCAGAAGAAGAAGAGGCGAGAGAGAGGCAAACAGCGGGAAGGGCAAGAGAGGTTCCATGCATGATTTTTTTTTTCCGTTTCGTGATTTTATGTTCCGTTCCATGTTTCATTTTTCTTTGTGGGTGGCTTGACAGAAGAGTAGACTACTGTGACGGTCGGGATGAGGTGGGTACAAGTGTACCTGGCGTGTGAGAAAGAGATGGACGGGCTTGAAGGTGAAAATGGAGAGGGTGGCTTGCTCGCGGGCGGGCGTGGGTGATGTCGGCACCGAGTGGAAGAAGCCCGCATTTGACAAGTAAAGCAGAAATAGTGTGGCGTCTGTATCAGCAACAGTACGTATTAGAAGGAATTCACCCCGAACTAGGCGATGGTGATGCGCGGGTGCAGTTCGTCAAATGTGCTGTGTTTCGTGGGTCGAGTTGAGATACGATTTTGGTGGTTGAATGCTGTGTTCAATCTCGATCGGCGAGCTCCCTCTCGAGAAGAAAGGGGGGCATAAGATGAACGAGAAGCAATTGGATCTCGTTATTGAAGTACCTGGGTATAGTATGTAATTGGGTTCGCGGGAGACCTGGTAGACTAAGCTAAGAGGTTTTTAATTCTTGACAGGTTGAAGAAGGGGTAGGTTGAGTGTGGGCCGTAACCCTAAGCCTCAACTTAACAACGATGCCGTGTTTTTTCGCATTTCCTTGCGGGGCATGTGGCAACAAGAGACCCCAGCTAGCTGGGTGTTTCGAGACGCTGGAGACCACAAGACAGAATTGCGCCAGGAGAAACGGTTTTCATGTTTTTCAATTCATGGTGGGTGGGTACTGGACACGAGTATGCATACAATGATGTATCTTGTGTCGCCGCGAATTTTGACACGAGCGACAGGGCGGCAGCCAATCGCGGACACGAAAAACTTCCCACCCTCTTAAAAAATATGCCGAGGATGACTCTGCGACAACGAGTGCCCGGCTTTGTCTCGAGTGGACACAGTAGTCCTTGAGACGTGTTATTTCAAGCGAGAAACGAGCTGGAAAAAAACTTGAACCTCAGCTTGCCCTCAGCTTGCTTTCTTGCATTGATGTGTTGCCATAGAGACACGCAGGCATGGAACCTCTCTCTCCTGAGGCCGCCAAACAGTACGGTGAGCGATTTCGTTCATTTCATTCCACCAAGCAACGCAAGCAAATGGCGCGCTCAAAACGTTTTGGTGCGCACAGACTGCCTGCCTCCCGGCAATTGCGGCCGAAAGTCTCAAGCCACCCCTCACGGTTATACGTCCATGGGCCAAACGCAACCCAATCGCCCCCCATCTCGCGCGCGCGCTAATCGTGCGGTGCGCTCCCGCTTGGGGGAGCATGGTCGGTGTACGAGTCCGGTCTATGATTGGTTTCCTCTTCCTTGGAAAACAGTTTTTAAAGACGTGCCAATCAACAACCCGTCGCCCAGACCCTCGTTCAGACCCTGGAGTGAGTTGCCCAACGTACCCTACAAGAATAGACCGTAGATAAGTACAACCAAAGCTTTGCATCAAAATACTTTTATCATGCCATGCCACCGGCGAAAAAACGCCGTCGGTATGCAGGTTCCCTCGAACCCCCGCCAACGACGAAAATAACTTCGACTTCCCCGGGCTGTCAATGATACTCTCGTGTGACGATTCCCACTATGCCAGTTGTGAACAGATACTCACGTAACATCTGCACGTTCTGCTAAGGCTCCCAAGCACAAGGTAAACACTAGGCTAGCCACAACTACCCTCATCTACCCCCTGAGTATCTCGAGGCACTCCCTCCCTGCTGCCATTCGATTCAAAACGATTGTCAAATCAACCTTGTTGGCAACTTGGCAAACCCATTTGCACCTTACCTAAATCTCTCAAATACTACTGTACCTTCCGTGCCTCACCCCCCCCTGTTTCAAACTAAGCACTGCAGCATACGAGGTCTTCTTGCCACCGTTGTCTTACTCTACTCTCTAGCCTCGCACGCACAAAGACACAGCAAACCGAAGGCTCTGACTGCTGCTGTCCTCAACGAGTCCGAAACGCCATTTGACGCCGACAACGAAGCAGCAGCACAAGGTCTTGTCCAACCCAAAATCATATTGTTAAGAAAAAAGAACAAAAAATCACAAGTGTCGTTCGCTCGTGTCGGTTCACGAACGCCGCCGATTCTGGTGTCAGTCTGACGGACCACATCTCGCTCGCTCATTCCTCACTCACTGATGACGCTGTCGCTGTCACTGCCCCCGGTCCCGCTACTACTCTTGTTGCTACGGCTACTCTGACTCCGGCTGCCGCTCCTGCTCCTGCTACGGCTGCTCCCGCTCCCGCTCCTGCTCGTCGCGCGTCTCTTCCTTGCTGGCGGGGAGCGTGAGCCGGACCGGCTGCTTCGACCCCTCGACCTAGAGCGCCTGTTCTTGCTGCGCGAGGACGACCGGGAGCGAGACCTCCGGGCGCGAGGGGCCGGGCTCCGAGAGCCCCGCCGGCCGCCGCCACGGCGGACGGGCGACCTCCTCCGAGGAGGCGGCGAGCGGGAGTCTCGCCCTCCTCGCCTGCCCCCTCCGTCCCCGCCGCCCCTCCTCTTGCTCCTGCTCCTGCTCCTGCTCCTGCTGCTGCGGCGCCGCCCCGCCTGGGCGCCGTAGTTCAGCCCTGACTGTTGGTACCGCCCCTCGTACGGCTCACGCCTTCCCCCCCTGCCCACGTCGTACCGGCCGCGTGCCCCCCCTCCCCTGTTGTCGAGATCGCGGTCGCGCCGGTCGCGGTCCCACGCTCCACCTCGGTCCCCGTACCGCCCGCCGCCGTCACGGCCACCACCATCACGAGCCCGGTTGTTGTACCGGTCGTCCCTGTCCCTGTCCGCCCTGTCGCCGCGCACGGGGGAGGGTGTGCGGTACACGCGGCCACCACGGCCCTTGTAGCGGGTGCGTCCGTCGTCCGGCACATCCTGGGCGTTGCTGGCGCTCTTGTCCTGTCGCGCGGCGGGGCTCTTGCTGCCGCGGCTGCGGCTGCGGCTCCTGCCATGGCGCCCGGTTGCTGCTGCTCTCTTCGGCGGCGACGGGCTTACGGCTCGCCTCCCCTCGGGAGCGGCGTGGCGGCTGCTGCTGCCGTTCGCCGGCTTGGAAGACCGAGAGCCGTTCTCCTTGCTCGCGGCCGACACCCCATTCCCGACTGCGCGGTGGTGGTCGCCCCCCTTGCCGCCGCCGCCGCCGCGGGGGACGTCCTTGCCTTCGTCGCTGCTGCTTCCGCTGCTGCTGCTGCTGCCGCTGCTCTGGACGGCCCGCTTCTCCTTCTTGGCGTCCTTGCTGCTCGACTTCTTGGCGGCGTGCTTGGCCTTCTTGCTCTCGCGCTTGCGGCGCTTGCGGTCCCCCCCCCCGCCAGACGCGTCCGACTCGTCGCCGCTGGAGTCGTCGGAAGAGCTGCTGCCGCCGCCGGACTCATCGTGATGGCGGTGGTGACGACGGTGCTTCTTCTGCTTCTTCTTGCCTTCTCCCTCCTCGCCCTTCCTCTTGCTCTTCTTGAGGCGCTTCTTCTCGGCCTTCTTTTCCTTCTTCCTCTCCTTCTTCAGCGCCTTCCGGTCCCTCTTCTCCTTCTTCTTGTCCGGAGTGTCTCTTGCGGCACCACGGCTTTGCATCTTCTTCATCCCGCTGCCTACCCCGTTCGCCCTGCCGTCGTCGCTGTCGCCCCCGCCCGCCTCCTCTTCCCTCCCGACGTCGCGGCTGCTGTGGCGACGGTGATGCTTGGAGGAGGAGCCGCGGCTGGGGAGCAGCTCCCCGCAGTCTTCGATGACAACCCTCTGGAGGGAGATCGGGGCGTCCTTCTTATCGGTCTCTACCTCGGACATCTTTGTAAGCGTGTCCGCGCCGGACTCGAGCTCTCCAAACACTACGTGGAGTCCATCCAGGTGGCTCGCCGGGTCGGTTGTGATGAAAAACTGGAGATTTGGGCATCAACAACACACATCGTTCGGGGTGGGAAGAAGGGAACACAGGACACGAGGTCGTTCAGGGGAAGGAACTTCGACACACCTCAAGCGGAGCGAAAGTGGTGTCGGATTGGGCAATCGTCTTGCGGGTTACAACCCTCATTTCGGCAAACGGTGAAATCCGTTTGCTTGTTGTTCGTTGAACATTGTTAGTGAGAAGCGAGTCCCGACTTCGGCATGCCTTCTTTCTTTAAAAAGACGGGATAGCCTATTCTGGAGAACGTATTTTCGAGTAGACATCCATGGCTGCCGCAGCGTTGATCTCTGGTGCAAATTAGTTCGGTTCTAGTCTTCCCTGTCTTCTAAGGCCTAAGCCTTGGTCAAAACAAAGGTACATAGAGCACTGCTGCGCCCCTAAAAATCAGCGCCCTCTCGCACGCCGCCTTGATTCCTACGGTTCTGGAACCCTGTTGCCAAGCAAAGCACTCTCGGGAAGGCCGCTTCGAACCCCGGACCTCCCAATCCGCTTAACCGCAGCGTTTATATGCTTCAGCGCAGCCTCGAGTCAAAACAGGTGAAGTTCCCCGGTGGACAGCAACCGAAAAAGTAATGCATAAACTTGGCGATCGGCATGAAACGAGACAGCGCAAGGACGTTTGTACCTGAGAGCCGTTGCTGTTCTTGCCGGCGTTGGCCATCGACAGCAGGTGCTTCTTGTTGTGCTTGAGCTTCAGGCCGGCCGGCTCGTCCTTGAACTTCCCACCGTAGATACTCTCGCCACCGGTGCCATTGCGCCTCTCGAAGTCGCCTCCTTGACACATGAACCCTGGCGAAATCAGCAGACAAGAGTCGGGGGGAACGGTCGCGTAAAGCATCAAGAGAGCGAAGGAACAGAGCACGAGGGGAACTCATTCCTTTCGAGGGAGTGATATAGGTGCTGGGAGGCATTACCGACACACCTCGGACGGAAAAGCGAGACCGTTTTCTAAGCAAAATTTACAATCAGGGGGCGGAGCTTCCGAAGATCAGAATAATAAGCCATACTTGCAGCGGTAAACACTTCACAAGACCTTCGCATCAGTCGCGAGTTGGTGCAGACGAGACTAGAACGGTGCTGTGCTTCACACCTAGGCAAGGGTTTTCAAGAGGGTTCACAAACGTACAGAGCAGGACTTGCACCCCGTTTTCCTATCTTGTACGGCCCGTCAACACGTACCAAGCAAGACTTGCCCGTGCTGTACCAAACAGGTGGCATACGAAGCGAAAGGCCGTACCAAGACCCTGTGTCGGCACGCCCCCATGGCGGTGTGATCTGTGTTTTTCTGTTATTCTGTTATGTTCGCCACACCACGATGATAACATTCGAGCATTTGAAAGTATCACTGCCCGTGTGGTTTTCTGGACGAGGGTATTGAATATCAGATACGTTCTGCGATAGACTCATGCCTAAAAACCTTGCCTACGCACATCCCTTCGCGACACACCACAAGAACCAACACGTGCTCGCCAAAAAAACAGCGGTGTTTGCCTACATACTAGCATGAACCGGGTGTAGTGTGTAGACAGTTCGAGACTCACCTGGAATCACGCGGTGGAAGGGGACACCTGTCGAACGATAAACCACATGGTACCCGGCGGAGCAAGGGACCAAAACAGGACAAAGCAGACACAACGGAGGTGGACGTAGACACCAGAAGGCGAGCAAGGGAAACACGGCACCAGGAAGAGACAGGCAGAACAAGTATTGAGATGTGAAACAAAGCAGGGAGGTAAACTGGTATGCGTGCGTAAGGGTGAGCGAGAGGATAATGCCCGCCGCGGTAGAAAGTGTCCAAACCGCTGGATAGATAGCGCACAATAGAAAGCAGCAGACGTGCGTGCTGTGTTGACCAGCCAAGGCGCCTACTGCCGTACTGACAAGTTTAGGTTCATATGCATACGGCGCGCCTGGCTTGCTGTGTAATCGAAACTGAGACAGATGCCTTGCCAGCGAAGACATCGTTTTAAGAAATATAGTTTTGCAAGTGGTGGAGACCGAGTGGGATCTGATGGGACAAATAACAAGGCGCTACGTGTTTGTCTGAAAACTTAAAACGCCACAGCGCAAATACGTCGGGGCATCTCCTAAGACATACCGTAGTTGCGGAAAACGAGAGCACAAGAATGGTGGACCATGTATTCTATGTAGGCCACCGCTGTAGGACACACATCATAAACAGGACGTGAGTCTTAACCAACAAAAAAGCAAAAAAGGTCATCTCCCTCCCACAGGACACACGCTTGCCGCCTCCTCGATTTTCCCGCCGCCTCGCCACCAACACGCACCTTTGTAGTGCAGCATCCTACCCGTGGTTCTGCCCTCTCCCTTCTCGCCGGTGCACAGGCATCGGAAGTTCTCCGCGGTCAACGGCACCTTCTCGGTGTAGAGCTCGAACACCATCCTCCCAGCTGTATTTCGAACGTGAGCAGGAACACCAGCAGCAGCATCGCAACAAGGTTGACGAAGATGAGAAATCCAAAACAGGGGTGGTAAGGCCGATAACGACGGCGAGGACGGGGCGAGAGAGAGTACTGTAGGCCAGCCATGTCAGATGGGCCGAGAAGCAATACATACCTAGCTGGCAGCCAAGGTGCTTGCCGACCATATGGGGGCAGACGCGATCACGCATGGCAATGCCAGAGGGACGCAAGTGCGCAGCAATCCATCTAAACCAAGATCCGCATGGGCAGCATTTGCACCAGGCCTTCTCACCATCCAACACATGCCAGCTTGCATGTTTGCATGGTGGGTGGAACATCCGGCTGTGTTTGTTGGCAAACGAATTGAGGCCGCAATCCGCGAGGTTGGATACTTCCTACCAGACCGAGCTTCGCAACCCACCTGGTTCGCCACCGATCGCCATGTCGAAGAAGCATCGTGTCGGCGCCGCGGGAGCCATGTCCAATGTGTGCTCTCTGTCCTCCCTCCCTCTCGCCTCTCGCACCCTGCTCTCCCTGTTCTCACCGCCATGCACCGGGGGCTCAGATGAATACATTAAGGGTGTAATGCTTCCATTCTGCGTGGCCCCGCTTCGAGTGTGGACGGTGTCTGCCTGGTGTCTGGTGTCCTCTGGGTGCTGTGATTATACACAATTATAACCAACAGGGGTGATACGGGGGCAGAGCATGGCTGACAACGCGAACAACACAGCAGTAGGGCGGAGGGAGAAGTGGTGGAGCGTTGTCAAGGCCATAGCTTTCGAGCTGAAGCCGTTCAGCCTTCCCAGCGTCGAGGATGTGAAGGCCGCGGCGGTAGCAGTGAGAACGAATGTCCGTCAAGTCGTCGACGAACTCGTCAGAGTCACGCCGGAGGCTGTTGGTGCCGTGAAGGCCGTCAACCCGCTCAGGGCGTTAGGGCTGTTGGCTTGGCTCTGCGGGTGGGCACTGTTCATCTGGCTCGAGTTCGGTAAGTGTGTGTGTCTGTAAATATAAATATATCGTGCGAGAAGCTCTCGCTCGGCATTGAAGAACGAATTACGTACCTTGGCCGGCCCTACTCTCGCTCGTTTGATTATCGATTTTTTTGAACTTTTGAACCTGATGACATACTTGTAGTGTAGAACGTGTGCGTTTCCCCGTCATCCCGCACAAGTTCCCCCAACCCACGTTGACGTCATTGCCGTTTTTCTTGGTGGCGCGACTCTTGGCCCTCCCTGGGGCGTCCCTCCTGTCCTTCCGAAACAAAACGTCTTGGGTTCATGTGTCATTCAAATCTTTACGGCTAACACACCTCTCGTGTTGTGTAGCCGACAGGCTCTTTTGACTCTCGTAACAAATGAACGTATACACCACAACTTTTACGACTTTAGATAAGACTCGCTGTTTCTCTTTCCCGCCATTTGTGCCGTTCCTTCCTTGCGGTTTGCCCTGTCGAGTTGCTGTGCTTGCACAAACGCAAGGACGCACAAAATCTCGAATGCACAACATTAACATTACCACGGCATGACATCTCATGAAGGAAGGCAGAATGTTAGTGTTCAACGACCCCTGAATTCTTCGTTCACGTGTGTTTGCACACACGTTACCTTTTGCTGCCCCAACCTTGGTCACTGGAGAAGAGAGAGGGAGAGAGAAGGTCTCTCTCCATGTCTATTTATCGCTCTCCTACTACTGTATCTCTCCACGTTCCTCTCCATGTTCAACATGTCTCTCTCTCTGACCCTCTTGTCCCTCTCTCTCTCTCCCTCTCCGGTGACCAAGGGTGGGGTAACAAGAATAACGTTTGTAGGGGAGGAGGCCTCCAAGTGTTGTTGAACATCGAGACGACTCGTAGCATACGACCCAGACACGGAAGAAGACAGGATTGATCACGTATAATATTCTCGTGCGTGCATGTAGCGGAGACTCACAAAACACCACGGACGGCCCCCCGCGTTTACCCGCAATGCCGACCCTCCGCCGCCGCCTCCGTGGCCCCCATCCCCCCCCCTCCGTTACGCCGGGGACCCCTTTTCGGTGATTGCAGGTGCGGTTTATTTCATCATTTCGTCCATGGCCATGATTTTCATGAACCTCGGCGAGCGTGGAGAGAGCGAGTGGTCCGCGTACAGGTGAGAACAAAGGAAAAGAAAATACTACAACAAAGGGAAGGGAGATAAGGAAAAAAGGAAGGGGGAGGAAAGGGTATCAAGGGTACTGGGACCTATGGCGTAGCCGTCAGGTTGTTAGGATGGGGTATAGGCTGGTGGTCGAGGTTGCCACCCCCTAGAAATATTCCGCAAATCATGTCACGTTTCTGTGAGCGCTTGGGGAGCATGGCGAAGATGTGGCTGAACAAGTCACTGTTCGGAAATACCGATTTTTCTCGTAAGAAATTGCTCATATGATGGAGTGTGTTGTGGGGGCTAAGCGACATTTGTTTTTCGGACTACATATGTACTTCGAAGTACTTGAATTCGTGCCGAAGGTTCCCAAACATTAGTCGAGAGAGGGTGATCAAATGGTTGACATATGCTACCTCACGCTTTGTTACATGTACGCGTATTGTAGCAAGATTATGACATGCTCGGGGAACGGAGGTCAATGCAGAGCAAGACCGGTGTCTGGTGCCAAACAGCTTTTTAGGTTGAGGACAAAGCCCACACATCCTCCAGCACCAATGGTAGCACATCAACCACATCGAGGACTCTGTACGCAGGAAGCACGTTCACCAACTGACCCACCCACCCACCCACCCACCGGGGCCTTGTCGGCAACCCGCCGCAGCGTTTTCAACGCAGGCTGCCGCGCGCTGCTGGGCACCATCAACGCCGAGCAGTTCGAGCGCGAGATCATGCGCCAGAACGTGGCTGCCCCGGCCCACCACCACGGCGACGGCAACGAGGATGACAACAACAACCAGGACGAAGATTTCGTGTGGGTGGAGCCAGAACCGGTAGTGCGCGACGTCGCCGCCGGTGACGCTGATGAGCCCGAGGATGGCAACGGAAGCGAGTATGACGACGATGACGGTGGTGGTGGCGGCGGCGGAGGCGGCGGGGGTGGAGGCGAAGGAGGTGCTGCTGCTGCCAGAGGGGCCGGGGGGGGGCGGAAGGTGAGCGGGAAGCGCGCGCGCCGGGGCTTCGAGGAGAGGAAGGAGAGGCAGGAGGAGAGGAGGCTCGCGCTGCAGGCGGTGGAGCAGGACGAATGGAACTGAGAGCGGAAACCAAGGGGTAGTGTTTGCTCAGCGGAACATATGTGCTCCCTGTGTGTGAGAGAGAGAGAGCGGGCGAAATCTGTTTGGGCAGGGTGCGAATGAACGATGGGTATGTAGACGGGATGAATTTGTTGCTTGGTGGCAGGGTTTCAGCGGCTATAACCGGGGAGAGAACGGGAGAGACGAAGCTTTTATTTTGTACAGAAATTCGGCGGTGTTATGGTAAGTGTTGGGTTTTTACCGAGGGGCGGTGATCGGTTTTAGACGGACGGCGGTGTCTTGTCGGAGCGCTTAGCAGCTGGTCGTGTCTGGTTTTGTCACGCGGTGGGCCGCCGCAATGGACACGCGACACGTTCTGGAGGCGTTGTCGGCCCGGGACAACTCTCGGGGGTTGTGCTGCTGCTTGCTGCACGTGTCCAACCACACCAAGATATCTTGGTAACCAGGCTGCTGTATTCAGCAGGTACACTTCCGCAGCTTTGGTTTACCCCTCTCCTCCCCCGGTCGTTCCGCGTCTTTCCAGCAAACGATGAGAGGGGCGGGTGTATTCCCGGCCTCCCGCGCCCGGCAGGGATTACCCGCTTGTTGTCGGTCCCTCGCTGCTGACTGATCCCTCCATGGGTCGCACTGAACTACTTTGGTCCCGGCTGCGTGCGTTTCTGTTGTAGGTTTCTTGTTTTTCTTTCGGAGGGGGGGGGTGGGAGAGTGTTTCCCAGCTGCCAGCGGCTGCCAGCTTCCAGGCAGGCGTCTATCCTGGGCAGTGTCCCCCTAAAGCGCGTGTCACACGGCCCACTGGCGATAGCAATCAGCTTTGGTGTATATTGTAGGTACGGACAGAGGGGTTTTGCGTCGGCGGGACGTCAGCTGTTGCACTCTAATTTTCTTTCCCCATGGAAACAAATTTTCCCGAGTATTTTTGTGTTTTGTTGCGTTGGTTTTATTTCAACCGGGCTCATGTTTTGAAGTAGTCGACTGTGGTTTTTGAGGGCTCTCTTGTCTGGGTGAAGAGCCAAGGGGCGGAGTGAGCGGGTACGACGACGTGCTGCAGTAGTAAGAGACGCAATTCGCGTACTAGGGTGGATTGACCTGCCGTATTGTTTACAGTCACCGTTGTCCGTTTGCTTGCTGACCGGTCAATCCACACATGAGTTTATTTTGCGTCTCTTCCTCTCTCTTTCTCTCTCTCTCTCTCTCTCTCTCTCTCTGTCTCTCTCTCTCTCTTTCTGTTGTTCTCTGCTGCGCACCTGCTCACCATCTTGCTGTTGAACGGCGATACACGACACTATCTCGTACCCCCCCCGGAAACAGGGCTTGACTCTTGCGGGAAAATTATTCCTCTAGATAATACTGCTGTTGCTTGTGTGCCACAGTATGGCTGCCGTTTTTGACTGCTTGGTGGTGGGTTCATACCGCACATGAATAATCTAAGGGGCGGGTTTAGTCTTGCGTGTTCCCTTTGGTTATTTTTCTTGCGAATCTGGTCGCGGTTTAGGTCGTCGTTTCTCTCTGCCTTTGGCGGCAGTGGTACCGGACATTGTGCGGCGATGTTGGGGGTTATATTGACAGTGGCTGTCGGCCTTGCTGCTGGGTAGAGTATCCATCGGGATAACTTTGCGGGCCGCAAAAGAGGGATGCCAGAGGGCGGGTTCCACACCACCAAGCACGTGGAGCACGTAGCACGAAGTGGCAAAGGGTAGATCACAAATGTGTTGTGTTTTTGTTCGGGTGTGGCAATTGCTCACCTACTTGCTGTAAGTATCTTTTTGCAATGAAGCTTGTTTTAGTACTACCAAACGACAACGGCGAGCTGTTGCGATTGGCGTCACGCTACGTCTGTGCGAGAAGGGTGTGTTGTGGGAGGAGGTAGTGACATAGATTGCGGTTCATGCTATTTACTACATACGGCTTCCGCTTAGCGAAGCCTCGTTTAACAACTGCCGTGGTGTGGTACGGTTCTACTGACTGTCGGCGAGCGTTCAAATCTTGTTCTGTATTGTTTTGACAAAATAATCACCTTTCCCCCTCCACCTCCATGTGTTCGGTTGATATGTGGACACCAGTCGATGTGCCCTTGGTGTTAGGGTTTATACGTGAACCCCCGGGCTTGTCTTCTCTACAGGTCACTAGACCCATGAACGGTTTTGCCGTAGCCCAGTATCTTGCAAAAACGAACCCAGCTTGCTTGTTGCTGAACTTGGATGTTTGTGTCCCTAGCTGTAGGAGTTGTTTCTGTCAAGGACAAGGGAGATCCATGTGCCCCACAAAACAAGGGTGCCTATGTAACGGCCCCAACAGAAAATGCCAGCGAAGCAAAGCTAGCTGTGGTACCGGCGTCAAAAGTCCACTACGCACTCGGCTCCCGGGGTTTGTACACTACTGCTTGTTTGGTTTCCTGATTCTGCAATAAATACGCGACGGCTCGTACCAATTCCCAACAAAGTGTTGGCCATATTACGTAAAAAAATTTGGTCTTTGTGTACTACTCGCCCGTTGCCTGATCTACCTAAATACTAGAGCAGTGGCCAAAATCGGGTACACCCGGTCAGAACACGGCCATAATCGGGTACCCCTACAAGACGCTGCTGGGAACGACCGCATGCCACCATCTGATTGGCCGGCGCCCGCCCCTACCCGGCCTTGGCCGTCTTTCCACCGGGTACACCCGATCTTGGATACTCACCCCCCGGAGGGGTACCCGGTTTTTCTTTCCCCTACCCGTAAATGGCTGGGCTGTTCGACCAAAACCCATGCACACAATCACGGGTCGGACGCACACCACCGGCCCTCGTTTGTCACCAATGAGCAAGTAGCGGGAGGGAGAGAATATATCTAATTTTGAAATGAGTCCCGTGTGTGTCGCATCTCGTGAGGGAGGGATTCATCCAGCTCTTCTTCTCGATCATTTGCACAGACAGACCGCCAGCCGTTTCCCCCAAGGGAGACTTCCACCGCCGACGGAGGGTCTGCCTCCGCCCGGCGGGCGGTCAGAACGTCCGAATTTTCGAGGGCAGGGCGTTACTGACGTGTACTTGTGTGCATGGGTTTTGGTCGAACAGCCCAGCCATTTTCGGGTAGGGGAAAGAAAAACCGGGTACCCCTCCAGGGGGTGAGTATCCAAGATCGGGTGCACCCGGTGGAAAGACGGCCACGGCCGGGTAGGGGCGGGCGCCGGCTAATCAGATGGTGGCTTGCGGTCGCTCCCAGCTGAGTGTTGTAGGGGTACCCGATTATGGCCGTGTTCTGACCGGGTGTACCCGATTTTGGCCACTGCTTTAAATACTAAGTACGTGACGCATTCGCTCAACTCCATAAAAGGTCCTGCTTAGAACAGTTTGCCAAACCAAGTCGTCTATCGTTCTCCTGACCCGGGTCGTGTGCAGGCAGATCATGAGACACGACCGACTCTCTTGTACACGACGACTACTACAAGTAGGTACCACAAACACACACACACGGCTTTTTTCAGCTCTCGCACAAACTCCACCAAGTTGAGGGATTTCCCGCAACGACCCGAGCACTTGGTGGGAAAGGTTACCACAAACCCCGTGGCCGAGCACCAACCAGGCAGCCCAACCCCCCCCTGCATCACTTGCCAACATTAGTACCTACTCTTTAGTTTTATCAGGGCGATTTCCATTGGCACTCATTAGCTCAATTATCCACAGCACTTCCACTTCATAACCGTAAATAAGTTATTTTTGTCCCTCGAGAACACAGATCCATGATTTGAACTCTTTCACTCAGCTTCCCGCTCCGCCCCACCCCGCCAATATTGCACGATAGGCGGCCCTAGACCCCTCATCTCATCTAGGAAGGCCTGCAACCTGCCCGCCTCCGCTTCCACCTCGATACGCGCGTCTTCGCTTTCGGCCATCCGAGCCGCGAGTCTACGCTCCCGCTGTTTCTGTCTCTCGCGACTTCCGTTTGAGTTCGTTCCGACGAAGGTTTCGTTTGGGTGTTGGGCAAGGACACCAAGAGGGGATTGGGGAGGGGGGGTGAGGGGGGGGGGTGAGTTGTACGTCGTTCGGTTTGTCAACATGTTAAGGATTACCGGTGTTGAGTTTCCCCCATACCCCTGTTGATGTAATATCTACCAAACATCGGAGATAGTAGAGCCCCGGGTAATCAATGAAAGGAATAAACCACCCCCTTTTCGTTCACACCTGCTTCCACCGCGTTCGCCGCAAACGAGGCAGGCTTTGCCTGGCCGAGCGCTTTTCTTGCCCCCTCCCCTCTCCTTCGCCACGGGGCCCCCTCCTCCTCCCCACTCCTCGGCCCCTTTGCAGTCGCCGCGCCTACCGCCACCCTTCCTGCCCGAAGCAGCAGATACCTCTTTCTTCAGCCTGGACACCTCCGCGGTCGCGACGTCGAGCTTCTTGCGGCAAGACGCCAGCTCGTCCCGAAGCTTCGCCGCTGCGGCGGCCGCGCTCCTGTCACCACCCCGGTCGCCACCGACGCCGCCCCCCGCGTCGCCCGGAGGCACTATCCGTCTCCTTGCTCGCCGCTGGCCCCACCCGCTGCTGCTGCCGATTCCGCGACCAGCAGTACCATCACCGCTCCCGCTTCCGCCGGCTGAGTCGGTGCCGTCGTCGCCACCCCGGCTCTCCCTGTGCGGCCGTCCGGTGGCCAAGTATGCTCGTTGCCGTTGTTGTTGTTGTCGTTTCGACGATGAGATGCGTCGTGCTGCCTTGGCCTCCAGGACCACCTCCGCCTCCTTGAGCCTTCGACGGAGGTAATCAGCCGATGACTTTTCTCGCGCGGCGGCCTCTGTTGCCGAGGCTCTGGAGCATCGAGAGGGGGGTGGGGGGGCGGGGGCGTACTCATGTTTTGCATGCCTGACATAGTTGATAGATTATGGAAGGGGGGAAGGGGAGAAAACGTCGTCGGCAGTACAATTTTTTTGTATGACTCGAAGGAACATGCTGCTCGGTGATGCTTCTTGTGTTGCCACGATCCAGCCTATGCCTCGACGTACGGATGGTCGCAGTCACGAGTTACAGTCAACCCTCTCCGTTAGCCACCCGTTGCACGTCGACCGCAAAATAATTACTAGTGGAGATACAAATAGACCGCAATCGAACTTCCTCGTCCGCACGCGCGCACTCCTCTCACGTCGTGGAAGCAAAAGAGGCGCTCACCGCTTGAAGTCGGCCATCCGTTTCGCTGTTGCTGCCGCCTCGGCCTCCGCCGCCCTTAGCCGCGCGCCCATCCTTGTCTGCAGCACGCGCTCCCGCTCCTTGGCCCTGGCCGCCTCTCTCCGCGACTCCTTCTCGGCCCGCCGGCGTTCCGAAACGAGGTCCGAGCGCGCTCCGTCTAGCTCGCACCGGAGGAGCTGAGAGTGTCACGACGATGGCACACGACGATGGCACACACACGACAGGAAGCAAGGTGACGTTCTCAATGTCAGCGACTAGGTTCTCAGCAGGGTACCGTTCTCAATGTCAGCGGCATTGGAAGAAAGTTCTTGTCTACCGTCTTAGCTTACTGCTGCGTGGCGTACTGTAGACCTTAACGCTAATAGCGCGCCACCGTTGTAGGAACCAAAAGGGGTTCTTTCGCCACCTGCCCAGGGTGCGAAGCCTTCAAATACGGAACTTAGTGGACAGCCAGTGCATGGATCGAAAGCAAACGGACCGGGCAGGAAGCAGCACGCGATCTACTACGGAGAACGGAGTGGCACGGGGGAAGTCAACGAGGTACTCAGCCGATTTCAATGCATTGAAGGGGGGGAGTGAGAGCATCACGCGCCACACACGGAAGCGTAGGGGATCGAATTGTATTCACATTGCTTTCTGCGAAGCAGATTTCGCACAAAGCGAACAACAAACTTACATGCTCCGCAAGCTCCAGCTCGGCGACCTTGGCCCGCAGGCCTCCTATAACCTCCGGCGCGCCCTCGGACCCTCCGTCGTATTCAGGCTTCCGGGCCCCTTCTGCCGCGGTCAAATCTACGACTTCTCCCAGGAGCTGCTGCTGCCGCTGTTCCGGTCCAGCCGCTCCACTTCTCGAGCCGGACAACCGATCGGCACGTGAACCTCTCTCGTCGACCCCTGTCGCCGTCCTCCGCCTTCCCGCCACGGGTCTCCTATTGCTGCTGCCGACCCCACCACCGACAACGTCAGACGCCAAGCGGCGTGATAAAAATGTTGCCGGGCTTGCGGCGGTGCCGACGGCAACCTTCGCCACGGAAGACGACGTTCCGGGCCGCCTTCCACTACCCCCGACAGAGCTCGCACGCCGCTGCGACGACGCTTGTCGTGCCTCGCCGCCAGCACCTTCGGCAGGTAGACGCGCCCCGGCGCTCCTGTGGGAGCTTCTCCTACGCGCGCCGAGAGAGCTGGTAGGATGGTCGCTGCCGTTGTCAGGGTTGTTTCCTCCAACGGTGGTGGTCGGCCGCAAGCGCTCCTTGAGGTCGAGACCCTCTAGGGCCGCCTCCAGCCTTTCCCGAGACGCCCGGGTGGGGTGGAGAGGCTCCGAGGGCGACCGCGCCGGCCCGAACGGAGGCGTTATAGCGCCCGTGCGCGGGAACGGGGCGGAGCGTGAGGCGGCCGTGGATACCCTACTGCTTGTTGGCGTTTGCGAGGTACTTTCTTGCTCCTCTCCACCGTGTTTTCCTTCCTGTTCCTTCTTCTTCTTCTTCCTCTTCCCCTCTTCCTCACCAGGGCTTCTGTCCGCGACCCCGACTCGGTTTCGACTGTCGGTGGCACACGCCTCCATGGCCGCCGGGCCCGCTGATGAGTTCGGGGAAGGTACCGTGGGTCTCCTGTCCTTGCTGATTGAACCTCCTGGCCCGCCACGCTTACCGCCAGTACCAGAAGAACACCCATCCTGCCCACCGGTACCTGGCCCGCTGCGTCCCGTCCCGCTACCAGAGACGGCCGTAGCGAGCACCGCCTGCACATCGGCGGCGACCCGCCCGAACGCCTCCACGTGCGCCGCGGTGGAGTTAGAGGTAGCGGGACCGCCCGCGTACGCGCTGCCGCCACCGCTGCCCTTCCCGTCGTCCAACACTTGCAGCTCCGACAGCGACATTCTCGGCGCAAGGCTATCGGGTGTCACACACCCGTCGCCATCCTCCGCCGCGGCAGCGCCGTCGGTGTTGTTGGTGTGCCTTCTCGCGTTGCTAAGTTCCGCTCCCTGCGGAGACTTGTTCGCTTCCAAGGCGCGTGCAGCAGAACCAGTGGCAGTGACCGGTATTGCCCGTTGCCGCTGTTTGAGCGGGTTCTGGACAAGGGCTGAAAATTCTTCCAAGGTCATTATTAGTCGATCCTTGCCAGATTGATTCCGCTCGTCGATGCCACCACCGGTGGAACAAGAACCCGCACCGGACATCACCATCGCAACCTCGGTTTCGGTCAGATGAACGCTCAAGGAGGCCAGCCCTTTCTTTAGCTCGCGGCTGCCAATGCCCTCGTGCTGAGCGCCGTCGTCCAGCTGCAGAAACAGCTCGGCCGCCGTGAGTCCGAGGAAAGAACCCTCCTCCACGAGCTCGATCAGGACGCGTCGGACCTCCTCGAACCCGCGTGGCGGCATGATCCAGTCTTCGAAGCGCCGATAATCGACGCCTTCGCTGGTGCCGACCACCCGGGCCGCGACCCTAGCAGCAGCGGCGTCTGAGACACCAGCGCTTGGCACTGCCGCTGTCGTGGCCAAACTCGTGCGGCTGTCCTCCTGGCATAGTCTTACGAGCGCGGCTTGAAGGTCCCCCGCGCGGAGCACGGCGGTGTCGCCGGCGGGCGCTCCTCCTAGCGAGTTGAAAACAGCACGAAGATCGAACCCGGCGGTGGCAGAAGAAGGAGAAGCCGAGTTTCCAGCCGAGGGTGGTCTCTTTGGTGCTGCGTGCGCGAGGGCTAGTATGGACGTGCGGGCAGTTTGCTCCATTCGGTCTTCGTCCTCCTGATGCAGTGGGGCGACGGCATCGGTCATTTTTTTGCACGAGAACAGGTCGGATGTTTGGTGTGCGTTGCATGTTTGATGTCTCCCTCTCGACACATGTAAATTCGCCAGAAGCACATGCACTCACGCGAGATGCTGCTGTATTCCCGAGATCAGTTTGCGGGTGCAAGGGGATGACGGGCCCAATCGTTGCAATGGCTGCGGCCAGACTGCTGCTGTACCGAACACTGCCTGTTGTTGGCACGGCACCTGCCCAATTTACACACATCTCGCACACGTGTATCCACTACTACCGACAGCCTCCACTCGTACCTCAGCACCGTGTGAATCAACCCTCACACTAGCGGTAGCAGCAGCAGCAGCAGCGGCGGCGGCGGCGGCGGCAGCTCGGTTGTATCCCTCGATCACCCGATCCATGTTTTCCCGCAATATTTACCAAACCGTTGGGTTTGGCGGGATCGAGGACGCGCGATGTGGGAGCGCAACAGGAAAAGACGAGAAGTGGGAGAACATCTGGTAGGCACGCTCCTCGAGAACTCCACTACACAGAAGGCGGGATTCTCGCACCCCACTCTTCTCCCCCCTCGTCTCTCTGTGCCTTCGTCCTGCTGCTGTTACTCTGGCAAAACACCGACATGATACTTTATCATCTGCAGCTGTGAGGTCTCAATGCAAGTTGGCGTGTTTATGTCTTGATGAACGTAAATGTACGGACAAGCCTTCCCGTCCCCCACCCCCTTGTTTTTCCGGCTCTCCGAAACGCGGGGTGTGGATGATGTGTCGGCCTCTGCTCTCTCTCTCTCTCTGTGTGTGTGTCTCTCTCTCGTTCTCCACGAGGAGTCATGGTTAGGACAGGGTTCGGCGTGCGGGGCGTTGCTCCGGGAGTATCGGGCGCTCTCTTGTACCTTGCAGCCCTTAGCACTTTGTCTTGCGGCCATGCCTTCGTGGCTTCTCCATCAGCATCGCGAGCTTGTTCTGCTGCCGCGCGAGGGTCATGGCGCGGGAGCAGCAGCAGCAGCAGCCGCCCACGAGTCGGTGCTGGAGGCGTGCGTGCTCGAAAGCTTAGAGGGTTAGAGGTGGCAGCGGGGGAGAGCGCGGTGGAGAGCTCGAGCGTGGCGGAGGGCGATGCCATGCGTGTGGGGCAGATCGAAGCGTTTGCGGACAAGGTGAGCTTGCGCTCCCCGCCCTCTCCTTGTTTGCGAAGTACGTTTGCAGTGCGTGTGTGGATTCTTGTAGTCTCCTTCTCTTGTTTTTTGTACTCTGGCTCCCACTACTGCTGCTGCTGTACAATCTCTCGCTGTTGAACTCGGGCGGTTGCGTCTGACTCGAGACCCACAACTTTCCGTTCGCCCGCAGGACAACCTTTTCCTCTGCCTAGATTGCCAAAAATCCACAGCAGTCAGTACTGGCCGGTGTACGACTTTGCTACCTGGCAGGCAACAAAACATCATACATGAACAACAGCAGCGTTCTGTTGGCCGAGTTTGCCCTTTATTCTCTTGTCTCTCTTGGAAGTTGTTTTGTTCGCTTGGATCCACAACAATAGCAGAGTCGCTGGTGCTCTTTGCTCAATCACGAGCACATCGCCACCGCCCGCCCTTGTAGTGTGCGGAGAACTAGTCTCGTGGCGCTCGAACATGTCTCCAGAGCGTCAACCTGTAGAATATGTCAGGAATAATTACGGCAAAGATGGTAGTAGGTTTACACTGGCAGCAGAGCGCGAGGGTGGTTTAGCGCTTCGACACACCGCTGCTGTGTAAAGGGTGTGGTGTGCGACTGACCCTGTGGCGGCCCATCCGCAGCTGGTCCCCCAAGCTCTCCTCTATTGTTGGTGTGTGCGTGTCTCTCTCTGCATGGAGCGCGGCCATCCTGTGTGAACCCTGTTCGGTGCGTTTTTATCACACAGCAAAAAGGCGTCGGAGCGGCCGCGCAATTTTTTTTTTTGCAACGACCCGAAGAGCCAGAACCTTCTTCATGAATTTTAAGCCTCTTTCAAACAGCAAGCAGATTCTTCCTCTAGGTCGATGCCACCGCTAGAAACTTCTGAAAGTGCTTGCCGTGGGATCTACGTGTCTAATGCTACGAACTTGACCGACACTTGTCAAGATCGGAACACACGACTGCCACGACGAGACAAATTATCTGTAGTTTATTTCCTGCCGACCAGGCAGAGCGCCATCACGGCAGAGCTGGTGAACGCACCAACAGCAGTCGGCACAACCAAACCAGCACCAACAAGCACCACCGCCCCCGACAGCAACAACGCACGAGCTTCTTCATCCATATCGTCGAGTGCGACAACCGCAACGGCCGGGCTGCTGCTGTATCCTCTCTCGTTCAGCAACAGCAACAGCAACTCCTAGCCGCTCCGCACACTACTGGCTTCCAGTTGCGGTCCGCCAGGGGAAGAAACTGCTGGGATACATATCTATCGGCCTTTATCCTCCTCTCTGAGATAAAAACGGCTGTTTAGTCTGCTGGCATCGGCTGCCGCCGCCTGCCCGAGGAAAGCAAGACAGGCGTCGCCTACCGCCCACACCACCACCACCATGCAGCACCTGTTGGCGTTCAACGAGAACGTGACCCTCGCCGAGCTCAACGAGGTCGAGCCGTTCTCCCAGGGAGGCTTCTGCGTGATCTGCTCCTGCGTCTACCGCGGGCAGCAGGCCGTACTCAAGATCCCCAAGCCGGCGACGGCCTCCAGCCGCAGCGGCGGCGCCGCGCAGGACCTCCTCACGGAGATCTCCATCTACCGGCAAATCTCCCAGCGAGGCGGACACCCCAACATCGCCCGCGCCTTCGGTGCCGGCACCCACGTCCAGCAGGGAGAGACGTCGCCGTCGCCGTTCCTCCTGCTGGAGAGGCTCGAGGGAGGCACGCTGGAGAACGCCTTCGAGCGGAGCACCGCGGTCTGGAGCGACCCGATCGGCAGGCTGCCCGTGGCCATCGAGCTGGCGGAGGCGGTGGCGTTTCTGCACGAGGCGGCTATCCCAGGCGGGGTCGTCCTGCACAGGTGAGCCAGCCTGTCGTCTTTGTCTTGTAGCTGCAGCCCCAGGAGCAGTTGCGGTCTCTGTCTGTGGTGAACTGCTGTCAGTATATATCTGCTGTTGGTCAATGGCGTGTAGGTGTCGAGCGAACGTTGGTGTTGCCGCGCACTCACCCAACCGCTGAAAGACTCTCTCGCACCCATTCGAGATGCTACCCCCCGTCTCGTCGTGAGTGCTTGATGTGGGTGGTGCTCTGCTGTTCGTGTGCATGCAACTGGTGCGGAGTTTCTTCTGTGTTGTGTGGCTTCTTGTCCGTTGTGCAACGTGATGTTTAGATTTGATCTGCAGCAGCAAGAAATACATGTACGTACGTATATGGTCGCGTTTTTTGTGCTGCCGATTGGCGTTTCTCTCTCTCTCCAGTTGGTGTTGCGGATCACTGAGCCAGGTGCTAGCAGTTGCAAGCCATGCCGTTATTACCATAGACGTGTTTCTCAAGAAGTGCATACCAATGAGGAGCGTTGGCCCGACAGAGTGCAAAGGGTGCGTTTGGCAAAGAACCCACGCAGCAATTAAACATAGGCGGCAGGACCGACATTTTCAAATTTGGTTTCGAGGAAAATGGTTGATGCTACCCGGCTCTCTTCTTGTGAACGGTAGACCATTTTAATAGTGCTGTTTGTCTGGACTTGGCATGGGCGGTGTGCCTTCTTCCCGACCTGGTTCTGTTCTTTTATTTTTTGAAAACATTCTTTCCGATCTGGGAATGTTCTTTGTGGACTCCTGGTGGTGTCATTGCGGTTGGAATGTTTGGACCTCTTCCAATGGTCTACACGATGGTAGCCAGCAATAGCAGCCATTGTTCATGTGTACAACTGCAGCATCGGCCTCACCGCAAAAACTATGCCACAAGAATAGTAGAGGTATTGATTTCTCTTTGACGACTCAAGCAGGCGGGTGCCGCACACAGCACTGCTGTTGTCCGGTTGTCTTTTCCCCCGATTCTTCGTCCCGACTGACGACTCGATGCTACACCGATGGGTTCACCGCTGTTTTTACCCAAGCAGGGACCTGAAGCCATCGAATATCGGGCTCTGCGGAGCGGGACACATCAAGGTGTTCGATTTGGGGCTTTCGGTCGTGAGGCAGGTGCTTGAAGCGCCCACCAGAGTGTATGAGGTGAGGATGGAGGGAGGGGGGAGGCGGGGAGAGGGGGGGCGGGAAATACAGCAGTACGGTCGATTGGGATGACTGCCTGCAGCGCACGTCTGCATGTGTTCGGATGTGTGACGGTTTTTGGTTTGACTGTTGACCACAATAGTTTTGGGTGTTGGATTCAGCGTGGAGCTGATGCCCGCCCCTGGTTGGTAAATAGACATGTGACGTGCTGAGTTGTGAGATCGGAACTGCTGGTTTCGGTCCACCAAGCATGTGTTGTTTTGTATTGTCGTTCATATCGAGGGGTAGAAATAGACCGGATGGATGTTGGCAGGGAGAACGAGGAAAGTTGTGTTCTTCATGTGTTGACCCGGTTGGTTTGAGTTGTTGACGACTGGCGGTCGCATCAACGCATCTACTAGCTGTTAAATGGCTTGTGTCGCCTGCGCGACTGTGTCGACATGTCTGCAAGACGACGGCTGTGCCTTGTCTAGTTTTGCCTGCCTCTCATTTTTTCATGTTCCTGACGCTCTCTCTCTCTCTCTCTCTCTCTCTCTCTCTCTCTCTCTCTGTCTCTCTCTGCTTCCTTCTGCTTGTTTTTTTTGTTTTGTTTCTGGGGTGGCTCGACCTGTCTCTCTTCACCAACCACGCCCGTCACCACGCACCACACCACCCATTCTACGATAACGCGGGACGCGGGTCACCACACCACCCTTCCACGATACCGCGGGACATCACGCCACCCTTCCACATATTATCGCGGGACAGATGTCGGGCATGGCGGGCTCCAAGAGGTTCATGGCCCCCGAGGTCTGCACCGGGCTGTCGTACAACGAGAAGGTGGACGTGTACTCGTTCGCCCTCGTGCTGTGGCAGATCTGCGCCCTGCGCAAGCCCTTCGCGGGCATGAGCGAGGCCGACCACTACCTCCAGGTCGTGCAGGGGGGCCTGAGGCCCCCCCTCGACGCGCGGTGGCCGCCGCAGCTCGTGCACCTGCTGCAGGCGTGCTGGCACGTACACCCGGACGCGAGGCCGACCATGGTCCAGGCCCGCGACACCTTGCGGCAGATCTTCGCGATGGGCGGTGGAGGGGGCGCGCCGCCCTACTAAGGAAAGGAGGAGGAGGAGGAGGCTGGATGGCTGCTTTTTTTGTACCGGGCGGAAATGGGATAGTTTTTAGGTATGTGGACTTGGGCCGCAGAGACTTCACCACATCCTCTCATCACTCATCTCCGATTTTGCTGGGGTATCTGTCGTTGGTGCATGTATGAGTGAGTGTGCATGCTATCGGAGGCAGCAGTCGCGCAACCGTGTGAGTCTTTTTGGTGGTGAGTTTACTTTTATATACAAGGGGGCTATTTTTGTTTTTTGTTTTTTGGGGCGTGAGGGGGGGGGGGGAGGGGTACGTGTGCCAGGGATAGTTGGCGCAAGTTTTCCACATCCGGTATGGGGGGCCCGCGGGAAGGGTCGCGTGGGTACCCGCGTAGGACGAAAGGTGGAGTGGGTATACGCCGTCGTAGTGAAGGAGTACGTTGCTTGGACAAAAGTTCCATGTCTGGATCACTGCTGGTGCGTTGTAGAGGTTGCGTTTTTTGTAATATGTTTGTGTTCATGACATTCGTTCTTCGTTTCTCTGATCTGTCTCGCTCTCCGTGCGTTTTGTCTCTCTGAGTTAGTCGTTTTTTTGTCTCTAATTTGTCAAAACTACAATAGAAGTAGTTCACAATAGGTGTCATTGTCTCTCTCCAGCATTCACTCACGCTTAAAGTATTGTTGTCTTCGTTTCTTTTTGTCCATCCATGAATGAAAACCATACACACCGTTTTAGTAGGTT